AGATTTAAACATTAAATAATATTACTCCACCCTAAAATAAATCAAACAATAAATATATCAGTCAGTTCCTTTAATAAATAATGTCACGTAAAAATAATCATTCACAATTTCAGACAACTTAGTAGATAAGAATGATTTTAACGACAAACTAATCTGCAATAAGTATTACAATTTACAAAAGCGACCGATCAATTTCGACGATCGATAGAAATATATTATAATTACAGGCACCATATAATAACGCACGAAATTACACATATAAATACATAATAATAATTGTCAAAAAAATTGCTCTTTCGAATTCGGTAACGACACATAGCTGCGACTAATATTTTAACATAAATATATAATGAACATATAAATACACGGGTGAGTTTTCTCTGTAAGGAAAGTCAAACTTATGCATAGAGAGTACAGTAACAAATATTGGATTTTTTTAATAAATTAAGTAATATCAATTAAGAAAATGGGTATTTTACTTTCCTCACAGAACAAAAAATCAGCCGACATATTTGGATGCTCTTACTACACTTAAAACATCTAGATAAGCAAACATGGAAAATTACACTCGCAATGACGTAAGAATCCTACCGTTACCCAAAGGCACTTTGCAGACGACGGGGCGGGGCGGGCCGGTCAATTTCGCCGCGAATAATAGCACAAAGTGAATCCTATACTTCAAACGCACACAGAGGGCAAAAAGACCGCGCCTTGGGTGCCCGGCGGGCACTGGCGGCGCGGCATGTCCGCGGCTGCCCGCCGTGGATCATACAAACCAGTTTATATGCAGTAACGCAGACGGTGACGCGGGGCGGTCAGCTCAGTTCGCGCCACGCGCTTTTTAGTGATGGACTATTCACTAGAACGAACGTCCTAAACTGACCGCCTCTGCCCGTCGTGTGCTTTGTGTACGCGGCGCGGGCAGCCGCAGACATCGACGGGCAGACGCGGTCTTTATTGCTTCGCGGACAAAATGCCCGCCCCGCCCCGTCGTCTGCTCAACGCCTAAACGTTCAAGAAGTTATTGTGGAATAAATAAAACCGCACATACTTATAAGCATACACCATTATGAAAACATCAAATCTGGAAACATTATACGGCTTTTTTGGTAGTCGATAAGAAAGTATTGTACAGTACCCTTAGCATGAACCAATATCGAATTCGAATCGAAATCGAGTCCGAATATCATTGTCAAATGTGTATAGATTTTTAGTTCTGTTTACGTACTTTGTGCCGCTGCTGTGCAAGTTTCCATACAAAATTTGACATTGACATTTCGGACTCGCGAACGATACGAATTCGATATTGGTTCGTGCTAGGGGTATATACAGTACACCGATATGTACAGTCGAGGCCATAACAATGGAAACAGCTTCACTACAAAAATCACTCTCAAATGGCAACCACCCGGCGAGACTGACTATGCATCTAATATTTTAAGAGATTTCTCTGTGCAATTATAAAATACTTCGTACTGTTTCATAAATTGCTGCCTATAATTATACAGAAACAGTCATACGTTCACGTATTCTGTAAGAACCTGCATTGGTCCTTCGAGCAAATAAATTATACGGGCGATACAATTTTATACGTTTTTTTTGTGCACGTCTTTTTATTATTAGTTAACATATTTGATACAAAATTGAATTCCTTCTCAAAGTCCATGATTTAGATGCATTGTGAATTCTTATTCCACATTATGACCTAAATAATGTGTAGGAACAGTACATATACTCCACTTTTATAACAAAGTTTGTATAAAATAGTACTACAATAATTACGTCGCATTATCATATTTAAGTTCTGTTCCTACATTAATTTTACAATTTTGTATGTCAAAAGTGTAGTAATAGCTTAAAATATATAAATATACAGTGATATCACATTACTTTTCATTAAAAACTCTAGACATCAATGAAATGTGCAAAATTGTTTTAAACTTCTTGAATATTAATAAGACTAGAATTAAATATGTAAGAAATTATTAAGAAGTACTGATTAAGTTAATTATTATTTTTATGAACTATTGATGGGTGTTTTATTAAATCTGTCATAATTAACTTTACCGTTATTTACAATAGAAGATTTGTGTAATGTACAAGTGTAATGGATAACATAATTATATTAAAGAAGATTAAGTGTCGCCGCACACGGGCCACACCCCACAACCCCACAAACGCCGCCACGAGAAGCTAGAAGCGGCTACTAAAGTGGCTGAAGCGCACGACAGCTTCCGACTAAGGTAAGGGAGAGAGGGTGGGGAATCGCGCGAGTGACGTGTGGCGGCGCGTTTTGTATCGGCGCATTAAGTGGCCGGCGCGGGCTACAAGAAGCGAGCAACGACGATTTGTAGCGTGTGGCGGCTACCGGCGTACTGTGTGTGGCGAGTCCATATAAAATGTATGAAAACTACAAGAAATATGCCGGTGGCGGCGTTTTGTGGTTGCGGTCGGTGGCCCGTGTGCGGCGACACTTAGACTAAACTAAAACACTAATTCAACAAAATATGTATAACAATCAAACAATTTTGCACAGAACAGTAATATTAAAACAAAAACCATAATTAAACTTATCTGATTTCAAGACAATCCTAAAATTATAAAAACCCCAGACAGCACGATAGTTAAAAAGATGATGGTATTATGTTGATGAACGTTTACAAAACAATCAATCAAATACACGATCTAAGTACAACATATACGTAGTCTGTGCGGAAAGAGAATGGGCGTGGCGAAAAACGGAATTAACATTAAGATTTTTATTTGGCAATCAAACCCAACAATCTGTAAAACGTCACAGTTTTGTTTGTGTTTGTGATATCTTGCGGTTTTTTGTATTTAATCATGTCTAAAAGGGGTAAAACCTTACAAATACGGTAGAAAAGCACTACAGCGCCTTCCAATCTAAATCCCATTCTCTTTCCGCACAGACAATCAAGCGAAGAAATGAATCAAAGATTTTTGAAGTGAAACTTCTTTACGCACTCTTGACTTGGGGGTAAGCTGGCGCATGCGTTACGCGTTACGAAAAGTGTGTTCGGGCGAGGCGAACGGGAGTTGAGTGGGGGATATAAGAGAAAACAGTGCACGCGCACATTTTCTTTCTCTCTTTAAATATGTATATGTACATACATCATACATGTATATAATGTACACACAAAATCAAAAAATCAAAATCTATATCGTTTATTCAGTCTAGGCATTTACAAGCACTTGTGAATGTCGAAAAGCTATGCCATCGGTTCGCAAATCTACGGCGGGAGACCTTGTACTGAGAAGAACCGGCAAGAAACTCAGCAAGAGCTGTCTTTTCTCCCTGTTCCACATATATATATATATACTAGCTGACTCGGCGAACTTCGTACCGCCCAAAAGTAATAATTTGCAATAAATCAAAATTGCGACTATAATTTGAGATTTAAACTATCCTATCTCTCAAGTTGGATCGAACTGCACATGGTGTGCGAATTTTATTATAATCGGTTCAGTGGTTTAGGAGTCCATTGAGGACAAACATTGTGACACGAGATTTATATATATTAAGATATACATATATACATACAGATGGAGCTGAAGAAGTTCCACTTCAGTCGTGTGGTCATAAGCACACTCGTTTATTTTTTTTTAACCTTATTATTCTCCCGCACAACACACATTATCACCACAGCGCTTTTTGCCAAGAGCCAAGAGCTTTTTGCCAAAATATTAAAATGATGCCAGCCACGCGTATTCTTTCACATGGCTAATCGTATTTGATATATCGTCATTTTGACAGCAGGTTGTTCTTGTCATACTCTATAGGGAGTGAAAAGGAAAGCCTGTTGCAAGTTTACAAATAGGAAATACGAATAGCCATGTGTGAAGTGCCGACACAATTTACATATTTAAATGAATACAAATATTATCGTAAAAAACATACGAAAACAATTTTATCTTTATAAATCTACTATCAGTACGAAAAATATACCCTAGTTCTTATGCATACAATATTTTGCCACATAAATCCAACAACTTTACAACGAAGACAAAAAATTTGACTTCTCATACGAGAATATATCTCAATAATTTGAATTGTATGAGAAATCCCAATAAATTTTGAGCATATTTATTTTAAATACTTCATACACTACATACTCAACAGTTATGAGTACATTATGAAGCTTAATAAAAGAAGATAGTACTGCTAGCTACCCATCTATTACTACAAAATAAACTGAAATACTATATACACGGAAAGTTTAGAACGCTGATTAGAACGAGATAAGCTTTTCTGCCATTGGCTGGATTACCGAAAGCCGTTATTCCGGCCAATGACATAGCACTTTCTTGTTACGCAGTTTTTATCCCCTTTCCTTTGTCGCTGAAAATTGTGTGGTAAAGATAGCACTCCACTCAAGTTCAAGAGTCTGAACTGTTTTAATGTGGTAGAAGGGTAGGTGACTTCTTGAGTATTTCTTAATAGCCTCTAGTGATGTAGTAACCCGTATACGATAAGGAAATATTGATTAGAGGAAATTTACCTCTCTTTCTGTCAGTATGAATTAAACAGACTTCCTTTTTGTAAAAACAATAGTTATTTAAGCTTTTCTTCGGGTATAATTAGTAAAATGTGTTTTATAGTGCTAAAATAAGGTCGACAACTGGATGGATTTCTCTAAGCGCAAAACATAATATCATGTTTCATAAATTCTTATGTACAGCTTACATTTATTAAATAAAATAAAAAAAAATCATCTATTTTCTTTATTTTCATTTTGTCGTATACGGTTTCAAAGTGTTCTTTTTCTAATCCAACACCTAAAGTTCTCTTAGCTTAGGCATTTCAGCGATTGCAGTAACAAACAACATTTCTAATATCAGAAGCATCAGTTAGGATTTATATTTTTTTATTTTGCTCTTAATGTGCCAAACATTTGTCTAACTCCAATAGTTTGACAAAATTTTGGCACCTAAATTGTCAAAAACCCACTAAAGTTGGAAAAGCCAATTGAAAATTTTTCATGCCTTCAGATGATTTTGAACTTTATTCTACACATACAAAGGTTCACAACGGTTTGAGAAATTTTACGCTTTATGGAGTTGTAAATTCTACATCTATTGTAGATTGTATATGACTCGCAGTAGAGTGGTGTAATATCACCTACTAGAGCTGGTCACTGTTTCGGCTCCTTGTCTGACGAATCTAAACAAGCCGTTAGAAATTGCGACTACTGGAGAAAACAGCCGCAAGGGGTATTCACTGCAAACAAAGAACATATCAGTGTTTATTACTGTAATTTACACACATATAAGGACCAGCATAAGTATTCTTTAAGATGAAATCTAACTCAAATATCTAAACTGGCTGCTTCTACAGACATAGCGACATTTGCCGTGTAGGTAATAGCGTAATGCATATCAAAGTAATGTCTAAAATGGAGATTTTATCTTACAGAATCGCGACATCATTACTATATTTAAGAACAGTAAGGGAGGTGTGTATGGTGTAATTCACTTATCAAATAATTTTTAGCGGCATTTCGAGTGTATTTTCGTCAAGCAATAGGGTATTTGATAAGTTTTAGTTTGAAATCGTTCTCACGTTATTGAGTCCGCAAAAAGTGGATTTTCATCATTCTGTTGTGTATTTCAGTAAAAATAAGCAAATAAAAATCTCCATTTTCAAGTTGCCGCGAAAACGTTTCTCTGGGCAATATGGCATCGTACTAGTGTGTGACGTCACACGACTGTTATTAAAACGTCAAACGATACAATGTAATGTCACTGTAACCGGAAGTTTACTTGCGTGTGACATCATTTTAGGCTCCGCCAATCCCAAGCGTTTTGAGTCACGTGACAATAGATAAGTAAACTATTATCCTTTTCGTTAGTTTTTAGTAAAATTATGAATATTATTTTGTAAAAATAGTAAAAACCCCTGCCAATATTCATTATAAACACAGATGCCAACAATTGGCACTTTATTTTTAACACTGTCAAATACCCTATTCTGTAGCACATCAGCTCTATCCTCCCTATTCTGTGTAAACAGTCGCACATCAGCTGTAAGATAGCTGATAATAATAGGCCTGCCCAATATGGGCATATTGGTTTTATTAATGGACTATCAGTCGTCGGTAAAATTGCATTGTATATTTTTCTTTCCATCCTGATATAAAATTTAATATAAAAAAAAATATTTTCACGCACACCAATCATAATAGTAAAACGAACATATTTTAAGGGTACAAGTGCGTTTTTATTACAATCCTTAAATAAACTTCAACTTTCTTCGAAAATTAAAAAAAATATATAAGAAGCGCTTATATCCCTTATTTTTTTTGTATCCAACTAAATTAATTAAATACTCAGTATATAAATAAATAAAATAAATTTACAAAATTTACACTCACCAACCGGGTACAGGACTCGCCTCGTTGCCGCTCAATATGAAAACTGGGAAAAATATTGAGAACACGCAACCACTGGAAGAGAAAATAAGAACTATCTTCAACAAACAATATCAGTCGGAAAAAGAAATACAAGAAAAACATCCATGTCCAGCCCCTCTAGCATGACCACCGAAACGGGATATGATAAAGCGATATATCGGCATTAACTGTCAGACTACTTTGGAGTTTGACAGTAGTCTGACAGTTAATGTCGATATATCGCATAATCATATCCCGTTTCGGTGGTCATGCTAGAGGGGCAGGAAGCTGGCGGTACTCGAACTGGCTATCCGGGCGGATGCCCTGACCAGTTATGCTACCGCTACCTCAATGGCCGCGAATTTCTTTATAGTAATTCTTATGGCGCACTTACATTTGGGCGTTAGCCCGTTTTCTGGTGCACGAAAGACAAACTCGAATTCGGGCACCTGGAGCAATATTTACACTGGAAGACGGTGTCGGGTAAACAAAAGGAAATCTACCCGACTTCGTTCATTTATACTTAGTCGTTTACCCGAATTCCATTGGCACTCGTATTCGGGCTATGGATCAAGTGTCATTTCGTAGCGCCATCTCTTCGCATTGTAGGTAATCCAAAATGTCAAACGGAATACTTTTACAAGTATTAAACATTTGAAAGAAGAAATAGCAATTTTAGTGTATTATATTTTTATTTGAAGCATTTAACTATTAGATGTGTAAATCTTAAGAAAATTTTACTAGAAAAAAGCAGACGCGGTTCAAGAAGCACACGGGACTCGAACTCGCACCCTCCGCTATCCGGATCAGTCGTATCGTATGTGAAACTATAGGTAGACCGATTAACTGACTCCTCGCCTGCGGGGTACAGGGCATGGGGGGAGGACGAAAAACGAAAGACCATTAGAAGTCTGGGCGGCAGGCACATTTTTGTCGAAATTACAAGTGCCCGCCGCCCGCACCTCTAATCATAATCATAATCAAAATCAATGATTCAGTTTAGGCTGTTACAAGCATTCATGAATGTCTAGAAGTTACGCCATCGGTTCATAAATCTACGGCGGGAGACCTTGTAATGAGAAGAACCGACAAGAAACTCTGCAAGGGCTGTGTTTTTCTCCCTGTTTTATTATTTACAGAGTCGTCAAATTGAAAAATGACTTCAGAGATGATTCATTATGTCACCTTTCATTACATAATGATTTGATATACATTAATTGTTTACCTGCATTTTGATAGACCTTGTAATGAGACGAACCGACAAGAAACTCTGCAAGGGCTGTGTTTTTCTCTCTGTTTTATTATTTACAGAGTCGTCAAATTGAAAAATGACTTCAGAGATGATTCATTATGTCACCTTTCATTACATAATGATTTGATATACATTAATTGTTTACCTGCATTTTGATTGATGTGTCATACAGTATAAAATACAAATAGTGTTATTTATATTAAGTTTTACTAAATTTGTTTCTTAGGTTTTCACGCACATCGCTCATTAAATAAAACTAGTTTTTACGGGTTAATGCACGAAACTTTATTTATTTATTGACGTTTCGTAGCCTTTACATTTAACTTAACTTTACTTAACTTTTATTTAATTTGTCGAGCTACCTTCATAAAAGTCTTTCGAAGGTAGCTCGACAAATTAAATAAAAGTTTTATTCTGACGACGAAGCCTGTAAAGGCTACGAAACGTCAATAAATAAATAAAGTTTCGTGCATTAACCCGTAAAAACTAGTTTTATTTAAGTTTGACTAAACATTAACTTCAATATTAAGGAAGTTAGAGCAGACTCATCTCCACTGGCAGCACTCGTTCACGAGCATGACGCATGAACCAGCCATCGCTTCGCTCAACCATATTTTAGGAAACGTAACGACCCGCACGGCACCCGTTCCCGTCCTCCCCCACACCCTGTATCCGCAGGCGAGGACTCAGTTAAGCGGTCTACCTATAACGCACAGAGTGCGATAACGTTACTGTAACATTACTATATTAATGTTTTAATTATGATTGGGGATCTGTGCAGGTAACACTTTGTATATTTAAGTTCAGACAGCGAAATACATGGCGGAATCGAAGGAATGCATCAAATCTAACATAATTTATGAAATAATATTAAATACAATCAATTAATAGAAAATTAATTTAAAAGATTGGTGGAGACCACTGGAGACCGCAGAGCTGGCGGCTATTTAGCCTAGCGCATAAGCCTCGCCATTCAGCGGGGAAATGCCGCCAGCGTCCTGGGAACCTTTGCCGACGGGGAAGACCTAGCTAAGGCAGCTATTTTTTGAATATTTGTCTAGTTTTAGTGTAGTTTTAGTTTAATATTTGAAATGTTACTTATTTATACTACCCCTTAATAAATTAATTCCATGAATAATATAGAAAAAAGAGTGTAGAAAATAAACAAATTAATAGAATAAACATAGCACATGCTTTTACACGCATAAAATTTGACAAAAGACAGAATAGCTAAAAAAATTGCCGAACAGATAAATTAATCATATTCTTGTCAAAGTTGTTGATTTATCTAACAACCGCACTCAGAAGAGTTACTTAACTTTTAAGATCGATTAAAGTTAGTGCTGTCACTTTCTTTACTATAAAAAAAGAGTAAGAAAACACGTCCCTAAAAGAAGAATTAAATTAAAATGACGTCGGAGTATGACAGTAAGGTGTGTTTCGCACATAAGAAACAATAAACTCACCTTATTATATAAGACTCTGGTATCTCAGTCAGCACTGCCAAAGGTAAACCGAAGCCAAGGAAGTAAGGCCAGTTGGTTTCTATGAATGTGAGCCTTTTGTGCAGCTCCCAGCCCATGTTGAACCATTTGTACTCGAACGAGTACAGCGCGTATAATAAGCACATATGCACCAGGCACAATAGCTCTCCTATGTATGTTATAGGCAGCATGCTCACCAGCATACTCTATGGAGGAAAAGTTAACTGGTAAGACATATATTCAGTACGGTTCAGTCAGAGAGCTATCGGTTTCATACTTAGATTAAAACAAAAAGGGAAGATACGGTATGCTCATACTAGCATCAAATAAAATATCCGACTCAACTACATAAGCAACTCTTCACACGCAAATATCTGTAAATGAACATTCAATCGAGCGAGCGGGACAGAACTGTACGCTTCAACGCAGCGCGAGCGAAACGGCGAGTCCTCCTCCGAGTCCGCACGACTGAGCTGTATTGTTGTACTTTTCTTGATAACAAATGTCGATTACATAAATAGCATTCACGACAAAGCGTGATTTTTGAGAAAAAAAATGTTTTTATAGTTTTACGAGTGAAAAGTGTTGCCGTGGCATTTGTTATTTGATCCTGAACTATTTGTGTTTTTTTATAAAAGTATCGAAGGCATTGTTGTAAATTTATTATAACACAGAATATACGCAACATTGTTATACTGAGTGCACATGCAACAAAATGTTTGAATGTCCAATTGTGACTAAAACGAATTGTGGTCATGCACCACAATTTAAGCGGATCACCTTTGAACCGCAAGTGCCTTATCTCCCCTTCTCTTCCCTTTTTGTTTTAAATCTAAGGTTTCATACATTTCTTACTATTAGAATGAGTATGCCGTCGACACATCGCGACTCACAAGTATATTTCACCGCACTGAATGTACGAAACCGATACCCAGGGCCGTCTTTAACCCATTGGAGGCCCTGGGCATATTAGGATAATGGGGCCCCTATGACTTTGATGTGGATTATGACTTGAAACGGAGCGAATCATACTGATGAATGTACTACTGATGATTTTTCTTTAAAATGTGTATATGCGTAGTATACTTATCTAAGCCTGCTGAAGTTCGAAAGCCTAATTTTTGGGCGAGAGTAGAATAGCTCCGCTTAAGTAAAGCTAGTAAGTTAGTATTGTAGTCAGTAATTTAGGTTCGATTTCATCGAATTATATAAGATTTTCGGTAATAAATATTGGTTATCGTTTGGTGATCTGACAGGAACTAGGGACTTTGTATTTGATCTGAGGGAGGCCCCTATCGATTGCGGGGCCCTGGGCACTTGCCCAAAGTGTCCACTGGGAAAGAGGGGTCTGCCGATACCTCTCTGACGCGTCACAATACTTCACGATAGATAAGTATATTTCTGCCTGTAGTCTTATAATTAAGGGGTGAAACTTAGTAATGTAAAACCAGACTTCGTATTATTGAAATTGAAGAATGGCGTTAATCTGCTGTAAATTTTTATTTTGCTGACGAGTCATTTCTTAGACTTCTTTTACTTGTTATTCTTTTTGGTTGGCTAATATTTAGTTAATTAGGCAAATACATTTTATTCAAGAATTAAAAGTAAGCCTTTCTTACATAGTTTTAGACAAAAAATTGTGCATTCTGAAGACGTTTTAATATACATATATTTTTTAGTATTTACATGAGCAAGTATCAAATTTTAGCACAAATACTAATTTAAAATCATATTTCGTTTGTTTTGTGATTAATTCTCATTTTGAAGTATGCTTAACATTACTCCGATAAAAAAAAAACTTATAATATTTTCAGCACTAGAATGCGCACCTAAATAAAGGTTTTTGTAGCTGTAGCCTGTAAAATATTCTATTTATAATGCAATGTAAAAGTTAAGAAATAAATATCAAAGAGTACACCTACCTGAACTAAAAATAAAGCTTGCACTAGCAAACTGAATAGCGAATCTGCAATAATTTTGCTGACACTGGACATAAACTGTGGTCGCCCACGTCGATGTCTATACGCTGAATCCGCAATATCCTGAAAATTTATATCAATAATTGCAATACAAAATTTACTTTTTAAACTGTGTACTTATTTTATATTATAATACCTACTACCCAAAATTTTGCTCTAGATACTTTTGAGAGGAGCTCGATGGCGCGGGTGGTCGGTCATTGGAAGAGTGACCAAAAATCTTCTATCTCGAGTTCCTCCGTGCTTCGGAAGGCACGTTAAGCCGTTGATCCCGGCTGCATCTGCAGTCGTTAGCACCCGCCAATCCGCACTGGGCCCACATGGTGGGTCTTGGCTCAATCTCCCTATTCCATCCATAGGGTAGGCCTGTGCACCAGCAGTGGGAACATTAATAGACCCTACTACTATGATGACTACCCAAAACCTTACACATCTCAAAATTATGTCTTAAGTATAACATCTTTTTAGTAAGACCACTATAATTAAGTAGTTATCGAAATTGTACACAGAAACAGGCAAAAACAGTATCACATTACTTGAGCAATGTGAAGTGTACTATCAGTTAAGTTGCAAAAATGTACTTTTATTTACTGACACTTCACATAGCTACTTGTAAATTATAACTTAAATTATAACTGTGTAGTTAATACCTATTGCTAGTAATTAAAAAACCATTACATTAACATCTGACCTGAAACCACAAACTGTTGACCAATTTGCTCAACAAAAATAATGGCAGAACCCATATCATCCTGAAGGTCATAGAGAGGAACGGTTGCATCCATGCCCATACGTTGTGGGCCACACCAGGATTGTGACCAAACACTATAGTAACTAAGTACTTCACCGCCGGCAATAATGCATATTCAAATACTAATATGCTTAGCAAAAATATAAATCCATTGAGGATGCATGACTGCAATACTCTTGTAAGTACTTTTGATTCCCTAAAAAAAAGAAAAGAATATTATACAGGCAGGTAGTTATACACATAATTGCCTGTATTAAAATTAATACAGAAATTATTAAAAAACAATCTAAATTATACTATTTTCTGTCTAACAGCCATTTGTCTTTAAAGAAACCTGCTTCCAGAATAGTATATAAATTATTACAGCATAAAACTATTATGTTTTAGTCTTCAAATAATACATAAATAAACACTAAACCTAAATATGGTTATATATTTACAAGTATATTCATTGATGAATATTTGATACATTATAATTCAAAACAAAAAATAGATTTAAATAAAGAAATAGATAAAAACTACTGTAAAAAAACCTTTTAATTTTAATCAACAATATGAATATAAAATGATTGAATATTTGCTTGAAGGTTAATGTATGTATGTTAATGTGTTCTGCAAGCAATTGTGGATTAAATAATTGATTAATCACATTGTATGTAAATAGACAACATGTTGTAAAGTAAAAATATATTTGATGATAATTATTTTGAGGAACATTGCCACATATTAGTGTAAGAGAATGTCCACCTAGTGATTCTTTTTTGATCAATGACTATAGGTCAATTTACAAAAAGAAACTTAAAATCTTTGAAGTAAAAATGGCATTTTATGAAAGATATTAATATAGTCCATCCACTAAATCTTCTTCCTTAGATCGGTAACAAAATCTTTTTAATAGTCATTAGGTCTGTGTACAACTTGTGGATTTCCATGTGGTAATTATTGCGTTTAAGCAATGAATTACAATAAAGTACAAAAAACTTACTGTTTTGGCTTTGTCTGTTTCTTCTTTGTTTCAACATCTATGAGAGGAGAACTCCTCAAAGCTCGCTCATTAATTTCCTTATCTAAATACAAGAGTACAGTTACACCTCGCAAGCTGTCTATAAAACCTTTGATAAAAGATACAGAAAAAGTCTGAAAAAAATAATACATACCTAACATCAATATTACCACGGAATTAAATAAAACAAACACAAGGAGTGCAATGTCTTATCAACTTACCTTAATGCTTTCCATGGTGCAGCTAGTATGTATTAAGTTCAATTTCTATTGATTCATTGTTTTATTGCTAACTTTCTTGAACTCGCTCATATCTTTTGTTGAATTTTGTTGATCTTGATTTGACAATGACATAACTTTATGACGACAGTTTGGACTTTGACATTTTTCATATAATGTTGCCATACTTCTATTTCAATAATACCTATTACCTTTATGTCATATAATAAATCGTATTTTCGAGAAAATCCAAGGTATTTTACGAAAACGTGGATAATTAGACAACAGCGTTGGCATTTCTCAATCTTACTGAAAAGTATAGGATTTTTCCAAGAACGCGAGTCGCCTTGATAAGATTATGAAAAAAATCGTTGGCTTTTATAAAATATTCTTGTGTTTTTGGGTCCTTGGATTCACACTTAGTTACTTTACGTTAGTATTATGACCATGACGCGCGAGCTGATGAGCGTGGTGGTGGGCGAAAACCCAGATTTTTTTATACTTAACAGTAACATTAAGCAATGTCATCGCCATTACCCATTACCCTATTTATTCGTGTATTCCGTAAAATTCATTAGGATTTTTATATTTTTTTTTATCAAACTAAATCATCATTCCATCATCAATTATATTTATCATTTGCCAATAAAGAAACGAAAGGGATGATGGAAAGCGAATAAATTCATATAGTTTGTTGAAATAAATCTATGGCTAAAACAAGATAGATTAAAAATGCGATACTGAATCTTAAAGCCTAATAAAAAAAAATGGTTGCCTGTAAAGTCGGTTTTACGGGCGAAGATTTTACGTGACAACGTCTTTTTCTCGGTAGAATATTTATTGATATGAATATAATTAAATTGCACAATAGGAACAAGGAATTGAATGAAAATAAGAATTGCACAAATTTTAACTATAGAAATATATTTTGTTTACTAAAACATTGTACATGTAAACTTAAACTTAACACGAGAGACTCATCGTAACGTTACCGAGCGTTACACTTTTTCATAAGTGACTCCCAGCCGCAACCTAATTTAAGACGTTGTCACGTCAAAAACTAGAGCAATATATACAAATAAATAGATTAAACTTTACGTTCTAAGTGACAGTTGCAAGCAGTAGGTATACAGGTGTTAAAACTAAATTTAACATCAGTCTCTCCTTGTTATTCTGTATAGAGAGTGTTGTCAAATTTTTTTGGTTTAGATGATCAATCATACCATTATCGACACCAGAAAAAACAGTGATTTAAGTAGACGGTAAGCATTATGTGTCCCTACTGACAACAAGACTAGATTAATAACCAGCGTTACCAAATTGGTGTTTTTTGGCAATTGTAGGGGAAAAATTTACCCTGGCGAACATTTGGGGTAACAAAATGGTATCTTTGGGTAAACTGATGGGGAATATAAAATATTATGGGGATTTTGACGTGACAACGTCTTAAATTAGGTTGCGGCTGGGAGTCACTTATGAAAAAGTGTAACGCTCGGTAACGTTACGATGAGTCTCTCGTGTTAAGTTTAAGTTTACATGTACAATGTTTTAGTAAACAAAATATATTTCTATAGTTAAAATTTGTGCAATTCTTATTTTCATTCAATTCCTTGTTCCTATTGTGCAATTTAATTATATTCATATCAATAAATATTCTACCGAGAAAAAGACGTTGTCACGTAAAATCTTCGCCCGTAAAACCGACTTTACAGGCAACCATTTTTTTTTTAATGTAATGTGAATGGCAATGAACGGCGAACATCCTTTTTATTCAACTGACATCTTGGCTAATATGCAAGAATCCAGAGCAATTTCAAAAAAGTCTAGCTAGTTATTCTATGATTTTTAACCATGGCAAAAAAAGCAGACGAGTTTTGGGAAGAACTATTAACTTAAACCTAAATTCTTATGTGTTGTAATATTTCAAATAATGTAATGGCATCCCTATGATGCTGGCAATACTGAACGTTTTAACTTCCTGTTTCCGTTTGCGCTTTGCTCTCTTGCTGTAACTGTGATTTTGTGAATGTGTGTTAAAATAAAACCAGTGCATGAAATAAAAACCGCAGATATCCAACAAAGACTTTTATTATAAAAATTAATATTATGGAGGGTGTTTTTTTTTAATTTAATCAAACTTGCGGCCTGTTTGAGTTTGCCATTTGCTAATACTGCTGTAGAACGGGCGTTTCTGTTAATGAATATAGTCAAAAATAAACTCCGAAATAGAAGGCTCACGAAAACAGCAGACAACAGACAGACATGTCTAAGAAAATCACGGCAGGTGCACAAATATTTGAACCAACCGAAAAATTCTAGAATTATTCAATTCTGTAAATGTGTACTTATTCACAAATAGGAGAAGAAAATGGGACAGAAGAAGTATCTACTTGTTATTTTTAATTAAAGTCTAAACTAATAAATATCAGTCATTTAATTTTTTTTTAGAAAGCGACGTGGGCTTTTTTTTAAACATATCATTGAGGAAAATTTTCAAAATAAGTTGGGGGAAATCATATATATGCATCTGGCAATCCTCCCATCAGCTGTCAACTGTCAAAGTTCCGATTAAAACCAAAAAAAAGTCAAGTCAATCAATCAAGCGTCAAGTCAGCAAGAAAACAAAAATACTTAGTTTATTTGCTTTTCAATTAGTTATAAAGTCAGCAATATAAGTGTTGTGATGACAATAAATAAATAAAATGGACAACACTTTTATTCTCAACAATTTGAGGTAAGTCTGTAGGAACAAATGGATAGCAAACAAGTTTCATGTAACTGTTGTGACCTCTGTTCTTTTAGATAAAGCATTTGCGTATTGCGAAATGCTGTCCTCATTAATAATAAAACACAACTTGCAAATACTTTACTTGGGGTTTAACTAAGAAGTTAAACCCCAAGTTTCTGTACTATCTTCAAAATGTCTTTACATTTCATTTGCTATTGTAGAAAGTTGCCCCTTCCATTCCACTTTCAACAAATGGGTCATTATTAGGTATACCCTTTTAAATTTGATATAAAGATCCTCTACAAGGAATATATTACCATTTAAACATATCTTCTATCAAAAACTAAATAGAGCACTGGTTTTGTTAAACTACTTGCCAGAGCAATGTAATAAGTGAGATGTATGTTTATGTGAGTGTATGATCTGAGAGAGTATCAATTAACACAAAGGTACAATAAACATGAACATTGTAATAAATTCAAAGGCGTGTTTTTAATAAAATAAAAAAATAATGTGATGAATGATGATAAAAAATGGAACATTGTTAAAATAGGTACACAAGTTAATAAAACTTCCTTTAAAAATAATAATATACTTTTGTGTGTCACGTATGGCTGCTTATTTGTTTAAGGTTATTAACACCTCAATTAGCTTCTGGCAGAGTTCAGATATAGGTCAAATTTATTTAAATAGCTAATGAATTACTCCTCTGTTCATATATATTATATCATCATCAACCCAAGCTTGTCCACTGCTGGACATAGGTCTCCCATAATGCACGCCACTGCTCCTGATTTTCTGCCACTCTGATCCAGCCCACTCCAGCTAGCCTATGAATGTCATCATCCCATCTTGTCTCAGGGAACTAAACTCTTAAAAATTTTAACTCCTGTTATTAACATATATTATTAACATACATAGATAACTGTATTTATTCATTATTTGTTGAATAAATTCAAATAAAACAAGGAATACTATTATATATTATGGGTTTGACTGAAAATGTGATTATGTCCTAAAGTTTGTGATCATCATTACTTTTTCATTAAACATAATGGTATCGATTGTGGCATGATTCTCTAAAGCTAAACTTAAATTTGACAACAGTGTATTCCTGTCATTCTTTATACAGAATGAAAAGGACAGACTGTTGTCAAATTTAAGTTTAGCTTTAGGGCTCTTTCAATTTATGCGTTTCTTGACGGCCTGCTGCGGTGCCGAAGCGGTGCGTTTGTCGTACAGCGTACGGTCGATCCTTTTTTTTCGCGCGGTGAGGCAACATTGCGGCGACGGTACCGCGAACGCTCGACAACAGGACTGTTGCCGCATCGCGCGTTTTGTATGAAAAAAAAGGATCGTCCGTACGCTGTACGACAAACGCACCGCTTCGGCACAGCAGCAGGCCGTCAAGAAACGCATAAATTGAAAGAGCCCTTAGATAATCATGCCAGAATCGACACCATTGTAAGACAATCTGCTTGAATTTGACAAGTTTATAATAGTGTAATATGAAAAAGTGAGTTTTACTGATACAGATGAAGGTAATTGTAATTATAATTGGCCATTTCATGAGCCATTTTGGTTCACTACATTCCAGGTATCAGTAGACAAAATATGAGATTTCAAAAATTTTATTTTGCAAATAAATTCATGAATAATTTCTTTGTAGGCTACTTATCAGTGAATAATTTATTCCTGAATTAATTATTCTAGAATAATATATATTACAAGTAATATTTTATTCAAATAATTATCTGAATAACAATATTTTTTTGAATATTGCCCAACTTTGGCAGATTTACACAAATAATACATTTTAAAGAAACAATATTTCAAATTTTGCCTTATATTTGCCTTGTAGTCACTGTATTTAAGTAGTGCAATTGCAAACTATCGACATTGTTCGTTACTCTCATAATCAAACCCACCCAACCCACTAAAATGACTTTGATAAATTTTGTTATGTAGATACAGGAGAGTGGACCTCTACCTAAGTGGTATATAAAATTCCGCAAATAGTAGTAATTTATTAAAGCCTAACATAGACTTGACATTGCCATTACAATATAATTATTATGATTTCCTGCAAACACAACATGAAGCTATATAATATGTGAATTTTTATATTCCCATCTCATGTAATATACAAATTACAGAATTGACCTTTAAATATAATTACAATGAATGAGTACAAAGTTCACAATATTCAATGAAAACAATTATCTATGTTTGTGTTTAGACATATTATTTAAGTAATAATTATTACTTTATAATGAATGTTCACCCAGATCTTAAAGCATTATAATATGAGTGCTGTTTCAGTACAGATATTCTATACTATCTATACTTATATTATAAAGAGGGAAGATTTGATTGTTTGTTTGCTGGTTTGTATGTTTGTTTTTATTTAATAGGCTCTGTAACTACTGGACCGAGTTCATAAAGTATTTCACATTTAGAATCTTACATTATCCCTGATAAACATAGGCTGTAGAGTATTTTCAAAATATTTAGGTTCCATATAAAAACATTGATAATGTAACCCAATTTATGAAAAAAATACCAAAAAATAGCCTTGTATCGCATAAGCTGTAAAGTCTTTGTAGTCCAGGCACCGAAAAGGTATAGAGGGAAATGCTTAGAACACAATTTTTGACTTCGTAACTTTGTTAGGACTAGTTAGGAGTTAAACATATCCCGTCTTAGCCCTTAAGCCGGGGGGGAGGGGGGGGTTGAAGGTCCCATTTATAGGGTTTTCGCATATATATCGGAAACTATGCATCCTAGTGACATGAGATTTTGACAAAAGTGAAAGCTGATTAAATTTGCTACAAGTCTTATTCAGTCAAATTTTTTGATATCTTGTATAGTTTTCGAGATATCCGCTCTTAAAAGTCTGTAATTATGGAAAAAAAAATGCATCACATTTTTGCTCTATTTGACCGGATAACTCTTCAACAATGCCGGCCGTAGGGTTGTTAGTTCCACCAGTGAGCAGCATGCAGATTTCGGACAAGCCCGCCAAAACAAGGATGGAGCTGACATTGCTAAGCTCACCGATTGGTTTGAGAAATTTCCTCCCTTCCTAGAGACCAGAGACATTATCAAGTCACCAGAAATCCAGAAAGCAGCAGCGGTCTTTTCACACCCTTTCTCCACCACCGCTCAAGTACAAGAGGCAGGTGAAACCTGCATCTTAAGGTGGTATGGAGCTCCAGCGAAAGAGATTTCCTTCAATGCCTACAGGTACAAGTCATTCTTGAAATCAGTAGCCACCATCAAGCCTGATATCTCTTGTCTTCCTCCCACCGAAGGAGCAGTAAAACAGCATTCCCAGGAAGTGGTGTCAATTTTTTTTTCCATAATTACAGAGCGGATATCTCGAAAACTATACAAGATATCAAAAAACTTGACTGATTAAAACTTGTAGCAAATTTAATCAGCTTTCACTTTTGTCGAAGTCTCATGTCGCTAGGATGCATAGTTTCCGAGATATATGCGAAAAACCTAAAAATGGGACCTTCAATCCCCCCCTTCCCCCCGGCTTAAGGGTTACGGGCGGGGGGGACTTTTGATATGTTTACCTCCTAACTAGTCCTAACAAAGTTACGAAGTCAAAAATTGTGTTCCAAGCTTTTCCCTCTATACCTGTTTTTGAGCATTCGTTGCCTGGACTATTGGCAATAGATCAAATTGATGTACTAAAGCATTATAGAGGATATCAATATCTCCAAAAAAGTTGGCAATACCAATGTGCGTGAACTTAGCACATCATTTTCTAGCAGATCAAAATTAAATGTGAGTTTGTTTTTCGCATGCAGCAGAGATCTATAGTTCCTGATACTTTTCAGAAAAAGTTCTAGCATTTTTATGCGAAAAATGACAATTAACAAAATAGTCTTCTAACTTCCGTCTGTCTGTCCGTCCTCGGTTTTGCTTGAACACTGTTCACCCTAGAAAGCTGTAATTTTGTGGCGATATTGTATATCAATTACGCCGACTAAAGGGTAGAATAAAATTTAGTTTTAATTTAGTTGAGATAAATAGTTTGATATTGTTTTTTTTTATTTCCAATACAGTAAATAAATTCTGTCATACATGATTTTTGTGTAAACATCTACTAAACGGACAAAGTCGCAATTTGAAGCTAGTTTTCAGTAGACTTCTTTCCTTTATCTCTTTTTTTAAACATCTTTTATTATTTAGTAAATAATTAGTTACCATAGATTTAGTACCTTTATTTAGCTGGTAATAAGTTAACTTTTACCATCAAATCTGTCTCTTATTATGTTAAAAAGATTATTTTCATCTGTTAATATTGTTCAGAGGAATATAATTATACCAGTTCCGTGCGCAGGCGCAAAGTTCAAAAACTTAATTGCTCTACGTCACAGAGGCCAGTGCGCGCCGGTCGATATTGATATCTAAAGCGATAGCGATAAGGGTTAGAGGAATGCCTACCTAACGCGAACTTGTAAAGCCATTCGTTTGACGGATGCAGTCGGTGCTTGTACGTGGCGCGAGCTGCACGTCCGTCGCGTCAGCGCCTCAGTTTGTGTGACGTTGTGTTATGGTAGTCTAGAGTTTTTCGAACCAATTGTGAGACCAAGATGAATGAGTTGAGCATCGCGGGCCCAGTGGACACTAAGCCCATTCTGTCCGACAGGAAGGGCAGCCTGAAGGTGACCATCACACCAGCGCAGCACAAAACCCTCACACACCTTCCGAAGAGGCCACCAGTGGATTTGGCCTTCACTGACCTGACTTACAGGGTGCAGGAGGGAAGGAAGAGCAGTAAGTTTCTTTTTTTTTCAACTTTCATTCAAGTACTTTTGATAAGGGAGCTTAATAAGGTCGTTTTACCCTTTAAGATATTTTATGTGAATGAAGATCTATGTGTAGAAAATGTTTGAAATTCAAGGAATTTTAGTGTGTATAATAACACGTTAGCGCCATCGCAATTCTTCAAAAGGAATCTTACTTGCAAATGCAAAAGACAATGGACAAAAGTGTCTTTGTTTGCATTGCATTTTCATTTCATCGCCGTTAATTTATCGTAAACATCTTTGTTCTTCGTTTTTATAATCGTCGTTCTTATATTAATTTTCTCCTTAAATTACGATTCCTCTTTTCAAACTTATTAGATTATGATAAGGATATAGGTACTCCTGTTAAATTTAGGTAAGGTAAATTAAAATTGTAATTATACGGTAGGATTAATTCTGAAATTAAGCCCAATGTATATATATATATTTTACCTTGCTAGATAGATAATCCAATTTTTATCATAATTATGGATTACCACATCTATCGATACAATGTTTTCCAGATCCTAGAAATGTTGCAATATATATGATAAATAGATAACATTGTTAGGAAACCTTGCGCTTAACTCGGTGTTAGTATCGGTCTTTCTGTAGTCATTTTAATATTTCTTTATAACCTCCCCCTTTCCTCGATTATAAATTCTTCAAGAACCGTCAATCAATAACAATTAAGTTGAGTATCAGATAATGGCACTGTCTGTCTAACGGTGCCAAGTCGTTTAGTTAATTAGGATTTATTAATTGATTTCACGTTTGTCGATAACTTAAATTTTCCTTCTACTTGCCTTCTACGAAGAATTCCGTTTAACCAATCTATTTACATAAATATCTTAACTTACTCTTTAACTCTAAAAAATGTTTTCTATGGTCCTATATAAAGATACATACTATTACACAATACACATAACGGCAACCGGCTTTAATTTCACGAAACTTGAACATTTATAATTTGACAGGGTTTACTTTGGTTTACTGGTAAAAACATTCTCTGTAATAAGTACACTTTGTGAGTACAATTTGACATTGATAACATCATTTTTACATAGAAATACAAGCGATATTGGTAATGAAATGGCTCCTCTGTTACATCCATAACTTTCTGTGCCACTTGTGCCAGTGTTTTCACTTTCCTGTTGTCGAGCACTGAGGTAATTCGGGAGACTTTTCAATTGATCCGCTGTCCATTGAAGACTGTTATATCACTTAGAAAATCCCCTGAAAGAAAGTATCATTAGTTGCCTACTCTATACCAGATAACTCTGAGCCATCGTAATAAGTAATGTATTAAATCACACTAATATTATAAAGGCGAAAGGTGAGTGTGTGAGTGTGTATGTTTGTTACTTTTTCACGTCTAAACAGCTAGAGCGATTTTAATAAAATTTGGTATGGAGTTAGCTGACATCCTGTATTAACACATAGGCTACGTTTTACTGCGGGAAAATATTCCTAATAAAGCGCGGGTAACACCGTGAGGTACAACTAGTATTTCATATTTCTCTGATCACTGGTTATCTGACGATTCAGACATTTATTGTTTGTTTGATATTTTATATTGCTAAGCCATTTTTCACATAAACAATTTCATATATCTTTTGATCACTCGTAAAGATATTTTAACATTCTCAAATTGCAGAAGACGAAAGGCCCTTTGAGAAAGTCAAATATTGTGTTAAAACTTTAGACCTAATGTTCTAGCAGTGACTAAGGTAGTGAAATGAGTGCGTGCGATATTCTTAATACATATCGTTTTCTGCCTATCGAGTCGTATAATAATTTGTCCACCCTTTGGTATGAAAAAGCCGACAAGATAGATTTTTGTACTCTGCACTGCACCATACGAAGATTCGAGTCTGTCTTCACTCGAAGCATTTTCGTTTACAGAGGTCCTTTGTTCCACATGCAAATTGTTAGGTCTATTATGTATAACATTTATATAAGGAGTTGTTTACTTTATGTGAAGCAAAGTTAGGTACGCGATGTACGGCATAACATCTTTTTTATTGCAAAATGAAGAGTCACGCTCAAGGATTGCTTTATGCCATAACGGTTATGAAAGCCAGTAACCAAGTAGAAATATTTACTCACTTATGGAGACGACAGAAACTCTTTTATGAGAGTTTTAAAATGATGTAATGCCTCATTTACATTTGGTCGTTAGGCCGTATTCGGGTGCACGAAAGACATTACAGGAATTCGAGCATCCGAAGTAATATTTACACTGGATAACGAGCTGGAAGACGGTGTCGGCTAAAAAAAATGAAATCTTCCCAAATACGGGCGTACTCGACTTCGTTCATTTACACTTATTCGTTTACCCGATTTCCATTGGCACTCGTGTAATTGCGCTATAATGCTTACATAGTCTTCAATTATTGTAACAAAAATGGTTTTTGTTGTAATTTTTTTCTTCCGTATTACTTAGGATGCGATTGCCATTTAATCAATCACATGAAAATATATACTACAAACAACACTTAATGGGATACGTTCATTGGCATTTGTCGTCTTAAAATTGAGGTCAATTGCGAAAAGTTGATGTCACATCGTGTTAGAGGTAAGAGAGCACTAGTAAAATCAATCAAGCCAAACCTCTGGCTATTTCACGTACATTTACGAGTTAATCGCACGAGCTTGATCTACTGTACTTTTTTCTACATACGGCACAGCATTTTACCCTACAACACCGGGATATTTTTCACTAGCAACAACTGGGTCCAAGTTTCAGGATAGATTTGAACCAGTAGCTTCCGCATTCCGAGTGGATGCAATAACTTTTTCTATATATTTATAAATCAAGCAGTTTCATACGAAAATTTTGCGCATACGTGATTAATGTTCACAACACGGGATCTTAAGCTAATGATTACGCATTTCTCTAGAGAGAAAACATTAGCCCATTGCAGATCGCTATCAGGTCTGCGATAGAGTATCTGCCTCAGTCCTAGCCTCTGGCTGCCTCTGAGTCTTCTACGCTTAGCTAGGTGGGTAGATGATTATGATAAACTATAGTTGTTCTTAAATTGCCCGGCCATTAACTGTGAGTTAAAATATATTAGAGAACCATCTTGACTACTTCAAATTGTCACATTTCGGCCTCCTCATTCTGACGTCAACATAAAAGACAGTTTTCTGTAGCGTGCGTGTAATCCCATTTTTAGACATTCAAATATTATATTAGTATATATCAAAGGCTATGCGTTATATTACAAGTTATCAAAATAATTACCTTGTAATAATCAAATTCTTTAATCAGAAATTATCCTAACAGATACCATAGCTAACAGGGTTATTCCTCTTGATCCAATCAAAGCCATTGTTTTCAAAACTTTACTACCCTTATATTGTGCCCAGTTTAACTCCCAATTAAATACCTACATTATTCCGGAAATTAATCAAATATCAAAGAAGTAAAACCTTTTTCGAACTGATAAAAAGTGAGAATTATTAGATTTCAATTCCTTTTGCTTCAAGATTGTGATTGCTACTCCCGGAACCTGGAAAGGATCCGAAATGTCAAGAATATTGAAAGAAGAAAACTAATGTTTAGTGATTTAAAACTACCCGTTAAAATAGTGTTTTATTAATTGAAGAACTAACATTAAATTATATTCTGTACTCATAGGGAAGCTATAAAGATTATCCTTTAAATGCTGCATAATAAGTTTCTCCAAAAATTTAAAACACTACATATTTTCACGTCCTCGACTTTTGTATCGCATGATATTAAAATGTACAACTTCAAAACTATGTTCCGGGTTGTGGCGTCTTCCGCTTAAGTCATTAACTCTGACCAAAGATTATTGGATGTTCATATTGATTTCTTAATTTTTTCTCAAAGTATGACAACAAGCTTTTTTCATTCCATCAAGTGAATGTAGTTCTACTTTGTTAGATGTAGTGTGGATATTGCGGTTTTCTTTATGGATATACCATATTAAAACCAGCTACCTTTGTGCCAGTAAAACAATAATTAATGACATAAATAAAACTTGTTTGGGATGCCTTACCAATCACCTAAAATTGCCACCAAGCAGGGCTGACCGTTATTATAAGACTTTCCCTAACAGCGCAGCGCGCTGTGGATAATAAAAAAACTGATGTTTTTCATTGTGATTTTCCTTTAAGTAGGTATTTATTATATTTATTACTGTGCCAACAATCTAAATCTAACGTGGGGACTTTTATTACCTTATAAATCATGGAGTTTTACTTAAACGCATTTCAACCACTTTCCGATATCGACCATCATTCCAATGTGTAACATCCATAAAATTGTAATTAAACTAATAGATGCCTGCTATCTTACAAGGTTTTATATTTATAACCTTGTAATTGTGAGATAGCCACACATTAATTTTATCATTATTCGTTGTGCAGGATGTTTGTCCATAAACATTTTCACATCGGCCACTTGTTTATCAACTAAGTTCCGATAATGAGCATTTCATTCCAATATCATCTTATTAAGTAATGGCCACACTGTTTTACCTTTGTCAAAACCTATAAAGAATTCCTTGCCTTGTCGACATCATTAGGGTTCTTTCTTAGCTGGTTTTGTCTTTAAGTGCTTTTTTGTTAGTACGAGCTCATATAATGCTACATAATTTGTATTTATTTTGTTTGTTTATATCAGGATATTTAAAAATAATAATACTTGTTTATCCACCCATCGCATGTTAAAAATAACCTTCTGTCTGAACCAACGTCGTATGGTTTTATAATTTCCTGCCTGGTGTCAGTCAATGTACGATTGCTATGGAGGTCTTTTATTATTTAATTTATCATCTGTTTTAGTTTAACTTACTTTTAATATGTAGCCGGCAACAGGTCGCGTTATCCAAAACTGTCTCTATGCAACTGATTTTAAAGCTCTATTTGGCTTCATATAAGTTTCCCAATAGATTGAGAAATTTGATAACTTGCCGTAACCCGATATATCGACGGCTGTAATTATCTGTAAAGATA